CCGCCACACCGCCAACGGCTCCCGCGCCGATGCTGATCTGAAGACGGCTTTGAAAGCCCCGGGGATCCAGAGAGGAGCTCGAGTAAGTCAGGCTCGAGCCCTGAGATCTGATGTCGATCGGAGGCTGCGGTTCCGAGGATGGCGGCCTCAGCGTCAGACTAACCGAGGTGTAGCTTCGAGTGTGATCGATCTGCGGGCCCGTGTTCTCCACGTTGAGTAACGGCTCGGCGTAATGAGTCCGTGGGTCGAGCAGCAGATCGCTTCGTTTACAGGCACCAGCGATCGTAGGCACCGTTCGAAAGTCTAAACGGTCGTCGGTGGAAATAAAAAAGAAAAATGGATGTTTCGTTAAGAGTAAGTAACGAGCGAAGGTGGAATAAATCAGGCGATCGACGGTACGACGTGCAAAATGAAAAGAAGTCGACGGTACCGTAACCAACCACCGTAACCAAGGGTTAAACGTTTTCGTTCGACTAACAGGCAAACGGGCAAATCTCCGTCGCACAGAGCCACGGCGTCGCGTTACGCTCGTTACGATCAAAATTGAATTTTGCTGGCATCGCTGCACCCGCAAACGAACCCGTTTAACTCTTCTCCGAATATACCAAAGTCGGAATATAACAGGCGCGAAACTGCTGCAATCCAGAGACGATATCGGCGCAGACTACGTACACTTTGCGACAACGTCGCGATCTACCGTCAGCGAATCTACGAGAAGCGATTATTGCTTCCTGTATGCATACTCTCATACGTACGATAAGGAACTCAAAATACATCACGAGTATCCGCCGCTATTCACCGTAAAGCGCCTATCCTTCTACGTGATATTACGTTATTCCGATCGTTCGTTTCGACTTGCCCCGTCGCTCGGCCAACGAAACCTCAGGTAGATGCGTACCGCGATTGCCAGCAGGGCTGCAGGCAACGTTCACGTTCAGCTCGAATCCGGCTGGCTCGTTTCCCGCGTTCTGGACTTTGTTAAGGCAGTTCGCGTCGCTCGGTCCGGTACAATCGTCGAAGAAACCGCGCGACGCGGTCGTGCAGACGGCAGGCGCTGAAGAAGGGGTGCTGGCTGAGTCGGCAGCTATCGGCGACGAGGCTGATATCGCGGCTGCTCGTGTACAGCTAACGGGACAGCGCCGTGCCATACCAATGTCCAGCGAGGCTGGTCTGTGTGGTCGCGTATTGTTGTTCGTGCTGTTGCTGGCGCGTTGCAACTGGCTCATCGTGCAGAAACGTTGCTGCTGCGTGGCCAGATGGTTCGCTCGTTGATGATGTTGATGATGTTGCTGCTGTTGCTGTTGCTGCTGCTGGAGGATGGCGCAAAGTGCCGCCGGTGGGAACGCGCCCGGAGACTGACGTGACTCTTGAGTGGCACGAAGGCTTCTCGCGCATGTCTCCCGATCGTGGCTATTCTGCAACGCACAGATGCACCTTGGGTCAGCCGATTTCCGGTCATCGCGAGCGAGCCCGCTGGCAGGGCGTTTCAAAATGTTATCTTTCTTTTTCTTTTTTTCCTTTTGTTTCTATTTGTTTTCTCGGTTTTTTTTTTTTTTTTTTTTTTTTTTTTTTTTTCAAATGGCAAACACGTGAAATTCGCAAACAAACTCTTCGTTGAAACTAAATAGACACGTGTTCCAGGGTTTTTTGAAATTCAACTCTTCAATGGCATTCAATCAAAGGATAATAAACATAGATTGGCATAAAAACTAATGCTGTGCCAGTGTTGTACAAAAACTCAATAATGTATATGTTTTCCTGGTTTTTTTTTTTTTTTTTTTTTTTTGTTTGCTTCTCGACTGGAAAATTGTCTTGCCTCTGCCGGATCCTAACGTACGATGTTACACGTTGCTGGCAGATTCGTCGATTAGACAGGAGTCGATTAGGAGGAGTTAACCGTTTGCGGTCCGATTGGGTTACCCAGGTACGAAGGACGGATTTGCATCTGCTTTTCAATTCCGTGGTACAGATCGTCGTAAGCGGAGTTTGCTGGCGCGAGAACGATAGACCGCAAAAGGTTAAACAGTGCCAGCCTTTCGCCCGCCTATCCTTCGTACTTTGCCGGATAGCGTGAAATTCTGGGACTTTCTAGTCTATTCGTACTGACAAAACGTTGAAAACCTCTGTATGTCACTGGCACGTAACGTATGTCACTGGCTCCTTAGTCATCGCTTGCACTTATCTAGTGCATTTTCATCTTTCGAGACACGTCGAAATCACGTATCAGGTTCCCCTGGCTTTTCACCTTTCAAGCAGATATTGCGTTATACAGGCTACAAAATACGCGCTGTCGTAAATACTGATACGAGTTAGAAAACAACGATTAGATATTTTCGATCGAGCAAAGGTACGCAAAAATGGCGCCAAACAAAAAAAAAAAGGAAAAAAAAGGAAAAGAAAGAGAAAGAAGAGTGATAAAACTTGGTTTCGACATTGTCGACAACGTTTGAACTAAGGAGAGCAGAGCACCGCAAGTGGAAAGACGATGATTGTTGCGGTGACTGGGAAAAACCCAGAAATCCCAACGCGGATACAAAACGTTATATTATTGTTTAGTGCGGTCAATCTTTGCTGATTAAGGGACATGTTCCGAATGCGCAATTAGAAAGGAAAAGAAAGAAAGGAATAAAAGACAGGAAAAAGAAAAAGTAAAGAAAACCAAATGGCCAAGACAAAGGACGTCTATACACACAGGTTCCACGCTCGTGCAATGAGAGAGAGAGAGAGAGGAGAGAAATTCTGTGCCGTTAATTTGCAATGCCAGAGATTATGGTATACTCGTGGTGTACGCGAATGGTTAGTCGTTATTGCGACGATCGTTTTAGCCATGACGGACGAGCGATAAGAACAAATCTCCGTAAAGTGGTTTACGCGGCACACCGTGTGCACACTCAAGGAGCCCATCTCGGAAAACTCGATCCAGCGTGGTGGTTTCACAGCGGTGCCAGCCAACGACGCCGTATCTTACCAAACTCTCTTCGTTACTGCACTGTAGATCGAATTTTCCGAGAGACCAGCATAGGAGCAGAATATCTGGCGGACAAAGAGCACCTATACCTGGGCGATGCACTGGGAAACGACGTGATCAGGGAGCGCAGGGAACTGCTGCTTCAGCTCATGGAACAGCTGCATGATAGCGATGTTAGAGCAATGGCACTCCCCCATCGTGGGCCCCCATCCTCCTGGCAGGCCTACCTGTGGGTGCCAGGGTCTCTCGTTACACCATCCTTTGATCGAATATGATTGGTCGAAAGAACAAATACGCCCACGGCTGATAAACTATCGTCGTTGCTGTCAGTCGATGGAAACAGAGCGCGAGATGCGAAGATGAGAACAGCGTATTTTCTGCGGAACGACGTCGGTTATCGGTTCTCGGTGTCTGATTGCGAGTACCGAAAGAGCACGAGGTGTTGCAGTCGAACGGAACGAGAGCGAGAGAAGCAGGAATTCGGCAAGATGGTCGAAATTTTGTAGTTTAGTGGATAAACGATTTGGATGGCCTCCAAATACGACGTTTCGTGCAGTTTCGTGTCGGTGCCGGAAAGTGTTTCAAATTATTCAACCACGGATGAGCGGACGGGGATGCGATTAATGAAGACAAAGTCGTGAGAAAATGAAAAGGAAAAGACCGTGGAACCTGCCGTGGGGCAAATCGTTTCGCTTGTTACAGACGCACTGAAATATCGCGCGATCGTGCGTTACGGCCTCTTAATTATAACGAAGGTCACACCAAACTTCGACCAGTGAACGCCACTCCTCCCATCTTTGTTAATCTTCCTGCTAACGGGACGACCGTTAAATCATTGCATCGTGTCGTTATTTTTCATCGTTTCGACCACGCTCGCAACGTGCCTCTCGGCCACCACGACCACCTACTTTTTACCGCGGCAAAAGGAAGAAACGTACGAGAGCGTCTCCGCTTTCCGCGACGCGACGCGACGCGACGCGACGCGACACGACGCGACACGACGCGACACGACACCACGTTCTTTATTTAAACCTGCGACTGTTTGACCCATTTTTCAAGAGAAACGAAAATCGCACGAATTTGTCTATAGCTGCCTACCCGATGTTCCATGGAAATCTTATCATTTTTCTAGACTCTTTTTACTTTCCGCTTCGCTTTCGATCTACGCTATCGTATCGTATAACACGGCGCAATCCGATTTCGATTCTTTCACAACTACGTTCGTCGCCGATTTTTTAATAAATCTAGAGTTGGACGGAGACACCAGGTTCGTGCCATGTTTGCGGTGTGTCTAACGTTCCACTTCCCGCGTCTCCGCAACGTTTCATGGCTCGATAACTTCGATACACCCGTTACGTTAGGGAATTGGCAGCGAATAGAGAAACGGTGGACACCTGTGCCGCGTGGCACGTAGGAGTGCCACATAATTAGCCGGCACTGCGCGTGCCACGCTCCCACGCGTATACGCATGCGCCTATGCTCCTGCAATCCTCCTTGCATCGTATCGTCGTATCGTCGTATCGTCGTATCGTCGTATCGAGAAACTTGCAACTTTCATCACAGTTCCAAAACAAAGTAGACGGTTGGAAAAATTCACTTCCTAGCAATTTCGATTCTACCGTCCACTCCCTTCTCGTATAAACCAACAACAGTTACGACACTTGTATGCCCGAGTATGGGAGAAAGACGAGAGAAGAGAAAAAAGAAAACGATATAAAAAGACGATATTTAAACATCGACGACACGCTCTATTCGCATCGAAATTCGACGATCGTTTACGAGTCACGGTTAGAATCGTGAGACTTTAGAAATCGACGTACCGTCCGATTCGCAGCAACTCCTGCTCATTTTTACGTCTAGATGCGTTCGGGTCTAGATCCGGATAGTCGAAAATCCACAAAAATCGAAAGAAAGAGTAGAGAGGAAGAGGGAGGAGAGAGAGAGAGAGAGAGAGAGAGAGAGAGAGAAAGAGAAAAAGAGAGGCGAGCACAGGGTCGTTCGGTCGATCGGAAGAAACTAAGAGGTTAGAAGCTGTACGCGTGCAATTCGCACTTGGCGCCGGGCCATGGGAGAGAATAAAGTGCTAGATAGAATTAATAATTCGGCTCTCTTTCTTCCGTCGCCTCGCACCTGGCAGGCCCCGGTGTGTCAGGTGAGTGAGGCATCAATCAGAGGGAAAACTGTTTATTGGCACGTAGCCCTGCGTTCGGGCCACTGGTCAGAGAGCGTTCGCCCTAACCGGCGTGTCTTCTTTTAAACGCCGCTACTTTCTAACGCTGACGCACGCGTCTTTTGCCGACCGTGTCCCGGATGAGACGACGAACTAAACCGCTTTAAAATCTCACGATCCGACGCGTTCCTCGTCAACGAGATCGAAGCGCGCAACGTCATACAAAACGTCCGATGCAACTAAAATCAAATATATTCGCAATGAAATATTCCATTCGCACGTCGACGTTACAAAATAGCAATAGTCTTTTATCGTTCTTTTACCTAGTGTATTTCCGTTTCGACGGTATAAACTTAGAGTTGTAAACTTAGAGTTGCAAAGTTACTTTCGCGCCACTCTGTATCCGTCTGAATCTGTCACAGGCAGTTTTTACTGGTCCTACTGGCAGTGCCTGCCAAACGGTGTCGGCCGTTCGACACACAAATGACGAAAATGCAAATAAACGTGTGTGGGCAGGTACTCGATGCGGAAACGTAACAGCGAATCGAATTTGTTCCGCCGTGGATTGTGCAAATCTCTGCCGAACTCGCTTCCCTCTGCCAAACGGAATCCTGCGAAACAAGCGACAAAATAAGAGAGACACGCGCGATTCTCTTCGACCACCGATACTTTACTTACTACTTGCCGCTATTAGCGACTACTCGGTTAGACTCGATCCGATGGATACGACGGTTTCGCGGTCTTGTCGCTTATCGCCAGCGGACCCAATATACTTTCCCCTCGGTCTGACAGCAAAGGAGCAGCATCTTTTAATTGCACCAGACACGCAGGATGTTTCTATCGGTGACACAGACGGGATTTTAAGAGCGGGCCGAGGAGGAGGGGGAGGGGGCGACGGCGAGAACGCCGTTCGTCGGGACAGGCGAAAAAGGAAAAGCGGAATTCCAACATGCCGGGAAGATATTTGTGTCATGAAATACCCAGGAGACACAGCGTGGCCGTTTTCGTCTACTCCTGGCAATACGGGCAAAAGTAAATTCCACGGCAATTTTCACGCATTTCCAGTAATTTTCAACTCTTTATTACTCTTTCAACTGTCCGATTCTTTCATCCTAGTTTCGCCATGGTTCGAAAACCTTCCAACAACTTTGCTCGAACGTCACTCTGCCAAACGATTCCTCTTCCTCCTATAACCGTAATATACATGTAAATTAATAAAAAGGTTCTGTCTGCGACCGAATGTCATACACCATGTGATCTAAACCATGTGTTTCAAGAAAAGAAAAATCACATTCTAGCGCGATAATGTCAAACTATTATACGAAATATAGAAAATTATTCCGTTTAAGTTCAGTCGACACCTGTTGCTTCGTAAAGCCGCGCACCCATCGGCCGGAAGTAATGCGCCTACGTACGTTACGTTAGTAGTAGTTAGTAAGTACGTTAAGAAAACGCGACGAATCTCTAACGATAGAACAACAGCGATAATTGATATTGTTCGCAAGAAGAAGAGCCGCTAGATCTCCTCCGCTGGTATAATTATTTACGTTTCCACTCGCGCGAACAGCAGATGCAAACTACTCGGCACCGGCGATAACTCGCCGTTTTACGCGCAATATTTCAAAACTGCATGAAACCGCGGCCCAATATCATGGCCAAGTGAAACTACAGCAAGGAAAAAAGAAGAAAAGCGCGTCGAGCCTAGTGGCAGACAAAAATAAGGAACCAAGAATAATAATTGACGGGGACGCGACGCTAACGTTAAGCAGAGCTACGATAAGTTACGCCTCCAGGCAAAAATATACGCTATCCTGAAAATAATGTTACACATTTTTCGCGTAGAGAAACGTCAGTCAGCGTTCATCACTGTGTAAACCTTTCGACTAAAGGAGTAAAGACTGGTCGACGACTGCCACATGATTCGTCGCGGTAATTCGTCTCACAGATCGATTACGGATTATTATATATTTACTATTCGTCAAGGTAGAAGCGACGACACGGACAGAGACGCGCGATAGTCGTCGCCAGTACGAACGTGACTTTAACAGAGTACACTGTACACGCGTATGTGCTCGATATGACGCCAGCTCTCTTTACGATTTCGATAATTCACACGCATCCGTAAAGTTCGTCGTTAATTCTCTAAACAGCTTTTTCACGCTATTATAAATATCGTTGACCTTTAAATTCTGTTTCCGCATGTGCCAAAAAATTTGAATGTAGACCTTTCGGTTGGAACGCCTCGATCATCCGCACAGTTATCGGAGAACTAACATCGAGAAATCCTATCGAATTAGAAAAGATCGACGGTAATTAACGAACAGTTACATAACTCGAAGTACATAGTAAATCGTTGGACAAAGTATTGGCCAAAACTTTATTATCCCTAGGGCACATATTTACGAATAAAAATAAAATACACACATACAGTGTTTACTGTCGTAATGGCCGCTCGAAACAACACTTTCCAACTGATTAGCGTAGTTTTTAAATCGAGAGGCACGTCGGAGCAGCTAAAATCGTCGACGAAGTTTAGAATTCGTAGATCACCGATTGACCCTGGTTCCTCTTATGTCTATGACACGCTTCAAAAAAATAAAACTATAAAGATCCTTCGCTTTTGAAAATACCAATAGCTTGCCGAAAGGAGCAACGACATTTCCTTCTTTGAATACGAGATAAAGAAAGATCGGTTCACGGGAAACTTTGATTCACAGGACACTGTACGTAAATAGAAGAACCGCGATAATATATAGAAATAGAAGTCTGATGAAAAACAGTTAACGAGATGCATGTTACATCGGTCGATAAGAAGATTGACGTTAGACTACCGATATCGACTAATATATGTCGGGCAAAGTATAAAAATTACTACATTACTGTAACACGATTTGAAAATCAGCGCCTTGAAAATCACGTAGAAATCCGCGATAAAGATAGAAAGCGGTTAACGGAGAAGTATTTCGCTGTTCCATCTATCGTCTACTTATCTATCGACGGCAGTATCTATCGATAGGAATCTGTCGTTAACGTATTATCGTAGTTTCCAACACGTTCGCACGTAAATATATTTCGTATCGCGTGAAGTAAATGCAATTAGAAATTCAACTATACTTCCCTCTTCGTTTCCGTTCATTTTACCCTTTCTACAGTGGCAATATCGAAAACTTTTGCATAACCCAAGAATTTGTCACAGTCTATTTGAATTTCAATCGTACCATCTCGACGTACAATCCGGTTTGAAATCGTAAGCTTGAAACTCACCGGACGGCAACCATTGGAAACGTCCAACGAACGAGGAATCAGTTAACAGCTCACTTCCAGCACTCGATAAAGACACTTGGTAAACGTCGCGATTTTATTCATTTGCTGCAAAGTGAAATTTCAACTGCCACCGTATAGACACGCGGATAACAGTAACTTTTCTGTCGTTTTCCAATATTTTAAAGCACGAACAAGCGGCGACCGTCCGCTAAGACCACTGATCAGCTGTGCACTGCGTACTGAAACGACATTAATCAATAGAGAAACCACATATGCTTTCAAGTACATTTTATTTAGAAAAATACCTCAATGCATTCGAAATATTTCCGTCTAACTAATTATTTACCCATTCTCGAAGATTCGAACGATAGTTTATAGTTTAGACGATGAAAATAAAAGGAGCTCTATTGACTACATAGTCAAGATGGCCGCTCACGCAGCAAGTGCTTCCCTATTTATGAATGGAAAACACGTCGTAATAGTCAGTCGCAATCACAAGCAAGGGGAATCCGCGTGCTATTTTAAAACTCGTGCCAGAATGGACCAACGGTGTCGTTAAGGCAGAGAGAGAGAGAGAAAGAGAGAGAGAGAGGCGTACTTTTTTTTCGTTTTTATCAGACTCGTTTTAACGACAAATTTTTATCTACTCGACATCTTTATGAAAACTCGATATTTCTCGAATTCTTGCCGATAAGAAATAAGACGAACAAACGCACCTACGAATCTAAAAGTCAATGTAGATATTAATATATTCGTCTCTACAAGTGTAAACCAAAATAGTACAATAGCAGTAATAATAACGATTTACAATACAATGGTCATAATACAATTACGAATACAAAGTACCGAGTTTGTTAAATCGTCGAACGATATCAATGAAAAATATGCACTGTTTTCAAACGACCAGTTTTTTCCATCTTTATAAAGTCAGCATCTGCAAGCAAGTTCGAATTCATTATAACGTAGAGGTTGGAAGAAACGTATGCACTACGATTTCCTAGGATTTCGTTGTATATAGAAAAAATACCTTGGAAGCAAGTGTTCAGAGCTTTGATATTATACGTGGTACATGAGACTAGAATATCTTTTCTTACATTCAGACAGCTCGACACAATGGAGGATTATAATGGTCAATGCGGATGGCTGTTGAAGAATAACCATCAATAAGTCAATTTATTGATTAGTCGTTAGATGCGTGATAAATACAATACGGATTTTAAAGAAAGAAAGAAAGAAAGAAAGAAAGAAAGAAAAAAAAGAAAAAGAGAGAAGAAACAATAAAGAAATATATCAACCTAATCGATTGTTAATCGTAATTCAAATGCATACGTCCCTTTTGCATTTTCTACTTGCGTTAAGATGATTCGCCGTCGAAAGATGACGATCGAATACCTAGTTTCTCTTTACTCGAAGAAAAAAAAAGGAAAGGGAAGGGGAGGGGTGGCGGGGTGAACAAAAAATACATTAGCTTCGATCTAAAGTATACGTAAAAGATTAAAATGCCTTTTCTAAGAATAATGCTACTGAAACGAAGGTTACGTACGGTTTCGCATACGTAGCGGAGAAACGAGAAAAAGAAAATGGAAAGAAAGGAAAGGAAAATATCGTTCAAGTTTTCTGGATACGCTTACAGGTCGTTCTCGAAAGCCTTAATACATTCATATACGGTATCTTCTTCTGCCTCCTGCGGTAAAAAAGCTACTTGTTCTGCATCGGTTTAGGCCATAAAAGCGTCGACGATAATTTGTCAAATATAGGTAGCAAAAGTGTTATATAAATCGGTGTAGCGGGATCGGCGCGGTGAAACCTAGACGATGGAGATTTTTTTCACAAGAGTACTCAGACCCTATATGCTTTTTACAAATAGCGGACTCCGCTTTCCCAAAGAAAATCTTTCCCAAGGAATCTCGTCCATTGGAAGAACCAACAAAACTCTGATCGAAAATGTATACGACTGTGTGCCACTTTGTTCACACTGCTCGTGTCTACACCGCGATGTCGACGACTTTTCTGCATCAAAGTAACGAGATCGTAGACCCGACGGCAGAGGTCCAGCCTAGTCGTCGTTGACCTCGATTGGAATACTAGTGGTGAATGTCGGGGTCTCTAGCTCTTCGTGCTTCTTCATTTTCATGCTCTGCAACGATAACGTAACTTTGACAAGGTGTTACAGAATAATAAATAAAAGAAAGGAAAAGGTGCGCCTGGTTGCTTCAGCATATATATCAGACCTGTTGTAATTTGTAATGGTTGATGATATCCTGATCGGCTGGGCAACTTTGTAAGAAGGCATCCAGCCTGTACATATGGTGCATATATCGCCAGAGATGCACCAAAGTCTCCGGAATCTCAAAGTCCGCGAAGTATTTGCCGGCCACCCTGATATGTTGGAGTCGTGGCATAAGTTCACAGTCGAAACAGCACATCGTGTCGCCTGTGAGGAAACGAGTACCCTTGCGACCTAGATGCTCGTCGATTTTGCGCAAGTGTGCCATCAGGGACGATGATTTCGGATCTTTATCCTTATCCTTCGCGTTCAGTAGTAACAGTTTCAATTTCTAGAACAAAAATAGCGTATTTAAAAACCGCTTAGCGGCTAGTCTCGAGGCGAGAAAGTAGCGGTTTCTCGGCGGAGCGGCTTTACCAGTTATACATACACTGAACAAGTTTTCAACGAGCGTGGCCACTTCTTTGTCCTGCACGAAGAGATTGTGTCCACCGGGAATGTTCTTCATTATGTGCCGTTCGATTTTCTCGTTTTCCAATATCGCGTCGCCGTTATCGATTAGGATCGGCGGCGGCGTTGCCTGGAAATTGGTACGGAAATCGGGCGGCGGTTTCTGCATGTCGACCGTGGTCACTTTTAGAGAGATGGTTTTCAATTCGGCGAGGAGATACAGATCCATAAAGTATTCCTGGCAGAAGAGGCACGCACCCTTTCGGCGACCATCGATCGTAGATGCCTGCAAAAATATATTCCCATTGTCAATTTATCGTATACAGCGCGTCAATGCACAGTAGCCGCGTGTAACGAAGAAAAAATTAATCGATGGTCACTTTCACCGTCTCTCTAATCTAAAATAGTCTGTTCGAACTCGAAAGAATCTCTCGAGCCACGCAAACACGAAACGATATCTGTTTTCTCCAGTTGATCGAGCAAACCGAGAGTACGTATATCTAGCATACTCGCTCCGCTCTCATTTTCTCCATGTCACGGTTTATTTATTTCCCTCGATGACGCAGCTTGCTTTATTTCTTACCAAAAGATACGCTCGCGGCTAACTAAAAGCTTCGGCACGCGTATATAGCCATATGAGCAAAAACGCGTTTTATTTCGAGTATACCGCTGAACGGTAAAAAAACCCCGTATTCCACCTACGTATCTATCGTAACTGTCACGAAATTCGCTACCCGAATTCTGCGTCTCTAATCTAAAATAGTCTGTTCGAACTCGAAAGAATCTCTCGAGCCACGCAAACACGAAACGATATCTGTTTTCTCCAGTTGATCGAGCAAACCGAGAGTACGTATATCTAGCATACTCGCTCCGCTCTCATTTTCTCCATGTCACGGTTTATTTATTTCCCTCGATGACGCAGCTTGCTTTATTTCTTACCAAAAGATACGCTCGCGGCTAACTAAAAGCTTCGGCACGCGTATATAGCCATATGAGCAAAAACGCGTTTTATTTCGAGTATACCGCTGAACGGTAAAAAAACCCCGTATTCCACCTACGTATCTATCGTAACTGTCACGAAATTCGCTACCCGAATTCTGCGTGTGTATGTTTGCTTCAATTATTAAAAAAAAAAAAAAAAAAGAAAAAGAAAAAGAAAAAAAGGGAAAAAGATTGGCCCGATGGTATCGATGCATTTCGGATAAATTAAAGGTGGGCAGCGTGCCAGCTTTTACCAAGAACACGGTTTCTATTTTCATTTCGTTTCAACGATCATCTCGCTCCAGCCTCTGATCGTACACTTTGGCTGTTCGAGATATTAGTCGACGACTATCGTAGCCTGGTGTTGAACGAGAAAAAGAACCTGATTATTTTCTTTTCCTTTTTTTCTTTTTTTTTTTCACGATGACGCAAGTTCGACCTGCGAGTTTTAAGAGCGAAAATGACGCGAGAAATCCCGATTCCCAAGAAACGAACGTGGCCTCTCGTCTTCGAAGCTCGGCAACTTTTCGGCCAAGGCTAAAACGCGGCGGTTTTGTGCCTGGTCAGTTCCGTGTTTTCGAGAATACAACGAGCAGCGAATCGGCGGACACCGATTGCTTGCCGATTACGTAACAGGCGTGCCAATTATATTACGCAAGAATCGTACTGAAAAATAATAGAAAGGACATTTTCTGGATAGAAAAGGCGAAGAATAAACATAAGCTAGATTTCGATCGACTTTGGAAATGGGTAACGTGGGTATCCGTGTCACGAAATACCAGTGGCGCGGAAAGCGTCGACGCCGAATCAAATGTCACGAGGCATCGAACGTCTTCGATCGGAACGCGCAAGAGTAATCTTTCGCTCGACCGCGTGCCTGCCGTTGCTTCCTTTCTCTCGCTCTCGCCGCTTGAAAATTCAATTGTGATCGATGCACGGTACGTCTATCATCGTATATATCGTATCATTTTGCAACGACAGAGTCTCGGGTAACACGATCCTCGAATTTTTGCCCAGCAAGCTCTGCCTGAAACGTGGACGAACCGAACACGAAACGCGCGTGCCGATAGTCTATCGAAGCAAATTCCTGATTTCTTTTGAAATAAGCGCGTTTCTACGCGCATCGTTGCAACTACACGGGATTCCCGTTTCAACTTGACCGACGAACAGAATTATAGAACGCATCGAGCGGTTTTCCATGCTCTCTCGCGGCTTTTACCTGCGATGCACACGCGATTAGAATGCTTGGCTTCGGCATATTGGCATAGAAGAGGACAAGATGCAAAAAGGAAGGGAACAATGCTCACGGATGCAACACGTCATCGAACAACTTGCTGTATAATGCACGGCATACGGTAAATAGGCGAATATTCGCTATCGCGAACCAACGTCTAACAGCGGTACATGTACGTGCATAATAAATACAGTTGTATGACGCACATACTATGTATGTCGTAGGTTTTTTCCGTATTCTAAGGATACGACGACCGTCATATCGTTCTTCTCTCTCTCTCTCTTTAGTACAACCTTTTAGCTGATGCACCACTATGAATAAAAATGGACGATCAACTGTAAAACGATTAACGCTTAAGCTGGATTCAGCTGCTTCTCGCATCGGCTTCAATAAAAATTCCTCTTCTTTCGTGGGAAAATTTGCATTGACGTATCTCTGCCGGGTCTCGGTGCAGAGATCGCGGCGAGCATGCTCGAACACGCCAGTTACACAGAATTTTATATATTACTTTTGACATCGGCAACCCTCGTAACGACCTTAAACGGAAGATGAAGCCGCGACGTCCGATCGATTCTTTATAATGACGCACAGTACGTACAACGGAATACGTTGCACGCAGACCATTTTACCCCACTTTATTTATCACATTAGAGCATTTTAGCCCACGCATCGAGATACCCTGTATGCAAATAAGAAGGCAAAGATGACTCATCCTCGAGATGGGCACGGGATTAACGGTTAAAGGATTCGCGGCGGATCCGCGAGGACCGATGAGAAGTAACGTTCGATGAGCAAGGCGAAGAGAGAACTATGACGGACGATAAAGAGAAAAGGAGGGAAGGGGAGGTGTTTACGCACGGGGGAAAGCCAGAAGAGCGAGGAAAGCGGAAGGTAAAGGAGTTCATCGTTTAACGGTAGAATCTCGAGGACCTCGCCGAGCTCCCCGTCGTTTCATCCCGTTTGACACACTTTACGAAGACCTCGCACGATCGCCTTCCGAGTGCAAGGTCGGCCAGTTACCATTAAATCTCTTCTTGTAACGAACGCCGTCGTTGAGTAGGCTCTCGCTCCTGTAGGATTCTACTTATAAGGCTGTCCGTCTCTGCTCCCTCGTCGCTAGACTGTGAATTTTTATGCGTTTACGGGTCGAAGTTCGAACATGTCGATTCGCACGGAATACATACACACGAATATTATGAAACATTTAGGCGTTTCATCTTAGCTCAGAGACGCGATTCTCATATGTCGTATGTCGTTGCCTCTGACTATCGTCGGCGTAACATTTGATTTTTCAGAAACGAATACTCGAGTTAAACGGATTTCCCGACACGTTTCACACTTTACCGATATACTTACGATAACTCGAGTTTCATTGGGGCGCTAACAAAGTTTCAAAACGTTTCGCACAATGCACGCGACATATGTATATTCGCGAAACATTCGTAACGTGCAAAAGCAGATAAAATATTCAAAGTAGTACTCGTACTCGCCATAACATTTAATAGGTAACAGAAATCTATGTCTAATCTAGGTTCCATTTGTTCCGTCGTATTCGTTTGAGCCTTGGTAAATGAAATATCCGCATCGCTATTTCTCTCTCTCTCTCTCTCTCTCTCTCTCTCTCCCTCTCTCTCTTGGTCAGTGTGTAATTACAAAAATCCACAGCATTCGAAGCATGAAAATTAGGTCCATGGAAGAGTATTCAGCTTGAAAATCTTTCTTTTAGATACCTGTTAACCAGCTAAGACGAGGTATCGAGATATTTGGATTCTTAAACCCTTATAACAATATATATAATAGGAATTTTTAACACGAATTTTTTGTAATATTTACGATATAAATTCCATTATTTACTAGATTCTGTTGTGTGCAATTTTTTACTTCAGCGGTTTTAATTCGATTAACAGGTTATAAACCTTGAACGTTCCAAATCTCTGATATCGGCTATCGGATCTCTTTAAACTGTAATCTCGCTCCATCTCCCCCCCCCTCTCTATCTATCTATCTATCTATCTATCTAATCTAATCTAAAATATTTAAAGAACTTTAATCTAAAGCTTTCAGACAATCTAAATTCATGAAAACTTTCGAATCATTCCGCGAAAGAGATCCATTAAACGAGAAAAGAGAACGAGAGTCGTATCTCGGTTGAAAATTCGAAAATTGAAATGTAACGAATCTTGTTCGCCGATTGTCTCGTGAGACGTGTGCGACGAAATCGATTCCAATACGTTCGCTTGGTTATTTATTTATTGAGATGCTGAGAACGATAAGAAGGAGAGCTGTTTACGAGGAAATTCGCGTCAAAATCCCCATCGAACAAATACGATAAGATTAGCGTTACCCATTGCCTGAAATAACCAACTGATAGATTTGATTGGCGAAAGTTTAATCGACAATTCGTAATTGGACAATCGAAGGAAGCCTCTTTCCTTCTATGGGGACGTTTTTCTAGAAAATATGGTGAAAGAGCATTCCGAGAAATGGAATCGAGTTCGTTCTCGATTAAATCGATTGCCGCGCGAGTCTACCTCGATTATCCATATCGAGAAACAAAATTCATCTTTTAATATGTACACGCATTGTTCGCAGTTACATGTAATATTGCCAATATAACGCGATAGAATAACGCAAGAAACCGGTAAAAGGAATCGTCGAGTCATCGAATAACTTTACCACTGACGTTCGTACACATTTGCCAAATTAATTTCGATCGTTACCTTTCGATATTATCTACCGATTGTAAACGAAAAGTATGATATCGAGATCGCAAAGTAGAAGATTCTTTATTTTCGCGGTACTCTAATTAGTATAAGAATAGACCGGAACCTTCCAGTTGTTTTCTTATCCTTTGTATAGCGATGGCTACATACATATAAATGCTTCTAATCTCGTTAAATTGATATATAGCCGGTGCAAATGCGTCGTCGTGGTCGCGCAAGTTTGCATTTTCGACTGACGAATTAGGCGGGAAAAAGGGAGAGGCGGGGAGGAAGAAAAGTTGGTCCACTGGAAGCGTTCATTAAAAGCGAACAGACTCCAAAAAAAAAAGAAAAGAAGAAAAAAGAAAGAAAAGAAAAAAGAAAGAGGAAAAAAGAAAGAGAGAAAGAGAGAGGGAGAGAAATAAAGGAAAAATAAATTATCGTCAAAATGTATCGTACGTATGAGATAAGAGCCAAGGGTTTCCTTTTTCTAGAGAGGAGTCAATGACGTAGAAAACGCGGCCAACCAGAATCACCGTTCGTACATATGTATTTATGTCTGTATTTCTTCGCATAGCGTTACGTCGCAGGAAATAGTTTCGTATACTTACCATATTCGCAGATGTCCCTTGTGCTTGCAACTAGCAATCGACGAATACGAAAAGCTTTTGAAATAACGCAGCTCACGCTCTGCCACCATATTCCAGTAACGTACCAAAGTTCAATTTATTGTCATTCGTTCGATTTTCGACACATCTTATCGATCAGCCAATTAATTGACTAAACTGTAGAAAGGGTGAAGAAAACAAAGAGGCAAAAGAAGCGGTTCGACGCTACTCGGTAAACGGTCGATGCTCATTCGAAGCAGCTTCTCTATTTTCCATACCATAAACTATAAACGATGCACACGTATCTTGGTCGGAAACGGTCGTTTCGACGGCGACTCCTCGTCACCGGATAGAAGAGGAAGAAACCTCGGGAGGAAGAAGAAGAAAGTACAGGAAGAAAACCAGTCATTCGATCCACGCCCATATCGTGCACGAAACGATCGCCTTTTTTCCCTATCTCTTCCTCCTTCCTCGTCTTCGTTCCACGCGTAGTATAAACTCACCTTGATGATCAACTCGATCTCGGGAACGTCGCCGTTGCTCGTGCCGTTCTCGTGGCTGTCGTCCGCCATCCTTACGATCGTATTTCCTTAGTTTAGACGAAAGGCACTTTTTTATTGTACTCCGCAGTTCACTATCGAACAGGACAGCTCCTTCCCCTACGATCAACTGCGACGGTACGCGATGGAGGCTCGCGAAATACTGACGCAGCGCGTGCTTCGCCACGTTTACGACAATAGCGCCGCGCCATGGAGAACCACGCGATTCGACGTTACCGACCACTGGTTGGCATACCAGAGGAATGCTCGTTCAACTTCTAACGTTTACGGAAGCGGCGACCTTCCGCATTTTTAATTGCAAATATGTATGTACATATAAATACAGCGGCACAGAAACGTGTCCGAGCACTCATTAACATTATAATGCCTAAATGCTATAATACCGAAACACGGCTATCGTGATTATACATATTGTATTGGTTAAATTCGAAATAGATCTGAAAATGTATTATCCGCAACTTACAACATTTTTATCGAAAGCATATACTTTTCAAAGGTCGTCAAAGTATTTCAACAGTCGTTCGTTATATTACATCATATTCATTCTATTAATAAACGAGACGATATTTAGCGAGAACGTCTTTAACGCTAATCGTATACTTAAAACCACTGTTCGCGCTATATATATTCTATACACCAAGTTTTCACAATAAGCGTATGTTTGCAACAAACGTTTTCTAACGTTTACACATATACATTTTTCAATTGGTTTCACGATAGTCGTGTTTCACTGCTAGTGAGATAATAGACATATACGTGACAAATTAGTGTTCAATATATGCGTACCAAATCGAAAAGAAAAATTCGATGTATTGAAAGAAGGGTTGTCGATACTTCGGGTTCAGTTATTTGAAATTCAAATGAAAGTATCTATGAAATTGGAATTGAAGAACGTAAGTAACTGTGGGTTGAATAAAACGAATTTCTCAGCCACATTATTTACGCATTATATTGTTAACGATAGTGCTTAAACAATAGAGCAACAATAATAAAACAGCATTTCATATGTACATAATCGATAATATTCTTCTTACTGTACCAGACGTCAGTTTCTCTTGCCTCGAAGATTGCACGACGTACGTACGCATAAGTGTCTATAAAATTGTACGACTAAAACCTTCCGCAACACTCATACCATTTTACACTTTTCTTATAACCTTCATATATATATATATATATATATAAATGAATATAATGGAGAATGGGAGAAAGAGAAGAGTATGAAAGATCGATAGAAAAGATTTAGCAGTTAGACGTACAATATTGTCTATCAATAGAAATGATCCAAACTATCATTTCAGCTAGCGTTTCGATATTTTCCTCTTTGTTAATTCACGATGGAAAGATGCACACAGATAATCAATTGTATCCGCAGAAAAATATATGATAATATATCTAATTTTTTTTCTCCATTGAATTTTGTACCGTTTTGTAATGTTTGAATATTTGCTTAGCAACGGTCTCTCATGATTCTAAATTTCACATTCTTGTATATAAGGATGGAATATTTCGTCTATGGAATGGATTATTTACCAAAACGTACGCGCGCATACACACACACACACACACGCACACGCACGCACACACGGAGTAAGGTTTATACATTACAAATAATAACTTTAACAACAAGAATTAGCTCTATGAACTGACTAATTTCGGTTTAGTTTATTAAATTGTTGGTGAAAGGCACGCAGGTTGGTTGATTCATTTATGTATGTAAAAATAAAGACGTAGAATATTTGACTCGAAAATTTCACACTTGATATACAATAAACTGCGGTAGGAAGTCCTGTTCAAATATCTTGTATTGCTATTTTCTTATATGCTGTTAAAATAATTAAAGTTTTTATTAAAAAAAAAAAAAGAAAAGAAACAAACAGTATTAATGTATATGTATATATAAAGATATTATACGAGTATCTATAATACCATTTGTTTTCCTATGCTTTTCCTATGCCTAACAACAAAGTCTCTGCAGTGTTTGGCGTCGAGACTAAAGCTACTATTGATATTCAGTAGGCATATGATAAATATCAAATATTATGATAAATATATGATTAACATAATTATAATAGTAATTGACTAATTTTGGTTTCGCAAAGATGTATGTTCCTAATTTGCCTATTCATTTCCCGGACCTTCAAGCTTTCGAACGAACATACGATAACGAACGAATTGCCTTCTTCTTTCTGCCAAAAGAACTCTCGATTTGATTCAATTTCGCAACGGATCCAAACTTTCCAACGAAAAGTCATCAGTATCGATCGACAGACCTCTACTAAAACCATCCTGCAACACCAATATGATAAAAATGAAAGATATTTAAATATATGCCAGTTTCACGTTAGTCACCAGTTATACCTTCATTTCGAGCAGCTTCTTATCTAAAAGACCAATCGCATTTTCTAATTCTTGTTGGCTAGGATTAGAAATCGCCGTTGTAGCTCCGAATTCGCCCATTTCAAATGGATCATTGAATTCATTTTTTGCGTTAACGGATGGTGTGGGATTGAAGGGAATACTACCAAATAAATCTTCTTTCAGTCCATTTTGACGTCTGGAATCCTTCGCTTTCGGTGGAGGGGCCACTAAATAAACGTAGAATATTAGCGTTTACAACGAGAATGATCGGATCAACGGACAACGATCGGATGTTTCGTAATCGAAGAGATAAAATCCGAATCGAAATCCGAATCGATTTTTCAGCCAGCACCTGTGCAACACGATTTATTCGTAGTTGTGGGACGCTTATGTCAGCGCGGTCTTTGGCTCATTACAGTTCGGATGCTATCCGAAACTGTAGACTGGCAGGTCGATCGAAAAGTGAAGGATAAAAGAACGACGAGCCGCGAAATGACAGAGCGAAGGGACAAAGATGAAAAGGATGAGAGGCGAACGAAAAACAGATATGGCTTCCAACAACGTCCTTCCTTTCGCGTAATGGAGTATAACTAAACTAGACTGCAAGAAATACGAAGAAATCAACTTACATAATGGTGGAGGACTTGTAGTGCCATTGCTTTGTGAGAAAAAGTTGGAGTTGGAGGACACTTGACCATTTAGAAGATTGTTGTGACTGGATTGATGATTTGTCAAACCATTTGCTGTTGCAGTTTCGTATGCCCTCGGATTGAAATCCTCCTCGAATTCGTCCATCAACAGCCCTTCCAATTTGGTACCAACCGACGGTGTTGGCGTAGGTTCGCTCCTTTTCATGGAAAACCATTAAATTAGCAGATATTCGTGGAATATTATAAAATACATTAATCTTACCATTCGTTCACGTTTATATAGATATTTCGACATACCCCATAAAGTTATCGTCGAACGTTTTCTCGAAACTCCTTGGAGGAACCGGAGGTGGTTGCTGCGATCCATTCGAGGTATTCCCATTACTGTCGTTTATATTACCAAGGGAAGATTTATTTGCCAATCCATTTACTTGCGTTGTTTCGTTCGTGGCGCCAGGCACGTGCAGAATATCCGGAAGATTGTGTTGCGACAAGTATGCTGACACATCAGCCTGGAAGAAAGTTCTCACGAAGCGTTACGACTTGTATTTTAAAATACAACGTAATACAGTATAAAATATGTTGTTTGCATATCGAAGATATTTTTTTTTTTTTTTTTTTTTTTTTTTTTTTAGAAATTGTGTTTTAACAAAGGCTAATCGTTGAAACCAACCGATCCTTTGATAGCAGCTATGTCCTGTAACCGCTGGCGATATACGTTATTCTCGTGTTCCAATCGTTTTATCTTTTGCTGCAGTACCATGCAGCGCCTTTGCGTTTCCAAATCTTTGCCCGATGTTTCTAAGAACCGCCTGTAGGCCAAGTCAAAGGCTTGGCCAATCGTCAACGTGATCTCTTCAGCTAATTTATCGCTAACGAAGACGAAGCACGTATGCCTCTCGGCGTCTTCCTCTTTTGCGATAAAGCTGAAGAACTTTTTCTCGCCTTTATCATCAGCACAGTACGATATTCTATGTAGTGGATATTGGTGCATAATTCGCTAAAAAAGAAGCGGATCGTTAACTGGCGAGCTTTACACGACAACGATGCGATAGGAAATATAAGAAATAGTGCGATACTTTTGCCGATGTTTTCGTTTTCGGTTCCTGAATTGCAACTCCGTCGATGCTTATGGTCAGTTCCACCTTAGGTGTTTTCGTCCCTTCGCTTTTCCTCAACTGTTGATTAAACTTGAGTTTACAAATAGCTTCTTTGACAACCTCGATGCCTTTAGGCTGATCCACTTCTGTGCTGCCCAGATACTAAAAAGTATAACAAGCAAATTACGACGGTAATAATTTATTTTGTAAACAAAGAAAGGAGAATCCTTGATAATCGAGCGTGCAAATGTTGCGTTATACGTTTCGCTTATATGTCTTTTTCTCTTTGTCCGCTTACATTACGATAAACCATTATAAACCGATAAACGAAATATATCGTATACAGGATGACGTCGAGAACAAATGGTGAATTGCACGACAAACGGAGCAACCGTGCAATTAGTAATTTAAGTTTATCTTTCGGTTCGAATCGTTAAAAAAGAATTCGTTGTAGCGTTGAAATCGTAAAGAGACAAAAAGGCTATATTTTACGAAGATCGTAATATACAGTTCGAGCGAGCTATACAGAGTAATGCTGAGAGAAACAATGCTGTATACGCGGTGACGGCTCGTTCATTTCGCTCGAAAGAATAGCGAAACTTATTCGTCGGCGAAATTTCAAGGTACAACGGATTTTTCGTCACTTCCAACTTTGACCAGTTTTATTCTTAACGCGTGTGTATTCGTATCGCGACAAACATACACGCATGTACGTACAATATAGTTGCGCCGTGGCAAGTGGCGAAGAAAACACCGTATGGCAATTACGCAATTTTTAAACGCGATAAATAAATCGGACAAATGTTTGTCCTGTCCTGTCGGATATCGTCGATTATTAAAAGATGAAGAACAACGGCATTGCCAGGTTACGACATCGACGATAGATAAAAATGTTTATTCGGCGCTTTACGTTCGCAGAAAATTGGGAACGATTCGGCGGATCTTGCTTCGCTTTCTTCTCCGTGGATCATTTGGAATTATTTCCTCGCATCTTCGTGCCGTGCGTTATCAGATAAAAAATGTCCGAGTTGGAGCAATTGGCGCAGATCGAACGGCCCAACTTTAGTCTCAGGAATTCTAGTTTATCCATTCT